TGATGGTTTGTCTTACCTGTCAACTTGGCTGGGCAACAGTAAGTATCCAGTTGTTCAATCCAGCACTCCTGTGGGTGCTGCTATGAGCTGTTTCGTAGATGTGGCTAGCATCTACTCAGCTGACTTCAACTAAAAGAGATTTCCCTTGATAATGTGGGTAGTCTTCATCAAATCAGCTGAAAAGCTTAACAGTGACAACAGGATTTTCAGAGAAGAAATTCTGGCTCAAGAGTCCGGCATCCAGTCCTGCCTGAGTGGACCGGTCTCTCGTGTAGATTTCAGACTAGTCAGCCTTAGAGTTGCAGGAGTCGATTCCCTAAAATCTTACTTTCTCTCTGTTTTTTCTTTCTGTAAGTCTCACCATCTCTCACTTTTGTCTCTGTCTTTCTCTATAGCACGAATAAAGAATCCTATTCTGTTTTTCAAGGAAACCTTGAATAATAAATAACTTCCCCACCCACCCACATACCTGCTACATTTCCTAGAAATGCCATGATCCAGAAGTGAAAGAGTTAAAGGCTGCCTGGCAGGCCTGCAGTGGGACCTGTTTCTCTTCTGATTGCTCAGTTTTCAGACCACAGGGCCCTGACCTCTTTTGGGGCGACTCTTGATGAGACTCTAAGAGGACCTTGGCCAGGAAGCCACTCAGGGCTGAGCTTATGGAAAGGCAGACTCCCCTTTCTTTTCGGCTTTTCTGGGTGTCTATCATCCTAGGCCTGGTGTTCTTTTTCTTTCTATGTCAAGGAGGTTTCAATTTCTTGCAAAAGAAATTGCGCTGCTGATAAACATTAGTTATGGAAAGGTTTTCTTTCAAACCCAAGGGAAGGAACAAGATAATTTCCCCTGGTTCAGAAAAGTCAGAGTAGAATAAAGCTTCTTGAAATATGAGCTTGATAAAAATAATATTGTCAGTATGAAATAAAAATGAGGACTTGGAGACAGTTTCATTCAAACTCACTTGATCATATATAATAAAGCCAAGAGAAGTCAGTGGGGGTGGGGGAGATTTTAACATGCTGAGCTGAATCAAGCCAAAGCTTTCCTTGCAACGCAGCTTTCTCTGGCAGGATGTTGGCAAACCACTTGGGTAAAGGCTATTTTGTTCCCCTCAGGGGTCTGAGGGGACAAAGGAGTCTGCTGGGCCCCTGGCTGGAATGAGTTCTGGTTCACTTTGCTCTCACCTACCCCACAAATAAACAAACAAAAAACATCGCTAATCCATGTTGCAGGGTCAGTTCCTAGAACACAGCCCATTTATACAGGTGAATCTGTGATAGCCACATCGGCCCACCTCCTAGGTTAGAGGATAAAGTCAGGTCACATTTCTTCCCATGTTCAAACCATAGTCGTTCTGAGAGCCTTGTTAGAGCCAGTGGGAAGAAACTCAGTGTTTCTTTAAGGGTTCCCCTTAGAATTTCTGGGTATCCCCAATGAATGCCAACTTGTCCCACAAATTCACCCACATTGGTTCTTCTGCTAAACTCTGCTGATCTTTCTCTCCATCACGGCATTTGCTGGGTTACACGCTCACTTGCTTTCTTTTTACTGCCACAGTGGGTTCCCTCAGGCTTAAAGGCCCTGAACTTGGCTTCTGTTGCTAATTTAGCTTCTAGCACATTCCCGCATATCTCTCCCCTGCTGCCCCCACATGTCTGTGGAGGTCTCTGGAGGTGCCTTCAGGGGACCCTCTGCACTAGAGGGTGGGCCCCTCGGACAAGGACCTACCTCACAAACAGTCGTCAGACTCCTTTGGCCTCAACTTGGCCTCACCCCAGTTTAGTGGCCACCCCGCCCTAAGATCTAATCAACGGATCGCCTCATTCTCACAGTGCTTATACCCCTCTAACTGCCTCTGCTGGATTCAGCTCTGCTCTAGGCTGAAGTCTCTCTCCCATATTGCAGAAGCGTCAGTAAAACCTGTCTTGCTGTTTTTAAACAAATGAGGGGTACAATTTCCCTTTGGCACCTTCCCTAAACCCAAAACACACTCCTTCTCTATGGTCCAAGAAGAAAGTGCCCACTTTCCCAACAAGGCAAGGTCAACCGACCATTTTAATGATGGGATTGGGGTCCACAGTCAGCTCACCCAGTGGCCTTTCCTCAGAGCTCAGAGGGAGTGACAGTGTGACCTGCCTTGGTGCCCGCTGCAGTAGCTGGCATTCACCACCTTCCCACCCCTCCCTCTCCTTTCTCACAGCAGCCTGCCCAGGCTCTATCTGCCCTTGTTCTGCCTAACACAATAGCCTCCAGGTTTGTTGCCCTCAAACTCACCCTCTGCAGACTTATCTGCTTCATGAGCTGTTGCTGCTGCGCCTTTGTGACTCCCCCATCTTTTTAAAAAAGTTTATTTATTTATGCATACAAGAGCTGGAATGTAGGCTACAGGTGCAGCAGGTGAGAAGATTCAACAGAGAGAGAGCGGGGAGCAGAACAGGCAGACTGGCTGAAATACACTGCTGAGGGGAGCAGCAGGTGAGACAAGAGAGGTCTGCTGTGCCATGTGGGTAGCTCCCTGGCAGGCCCGGGGATTGAACTCATGCTGCAGAGGCTGCAAATAGCCTCACAGTGCTGTGCTTAACCCCTTGGGTCACCAGGGAGGCCCGACTCCCCCATCTATGGATGGCCCTCTTCTGCCCACTTCCTGCCAGCTTTCAGCTTTCCACTCAGAAGAGCACTCTGGAATTGCCTGTGTTCCTTGCACCACTCTCCCGGAACACCTACGAGGAGCCACTCTTTATTAAGAGGCAGGGATGCTTGCAGAAGAAATACAAGACAATCTTTCCCTACCCTGGAGGTTCAGGCTGTTGTTGATTTTTTTTCCCCCTGTGCAGGTGACATTACAACTGAATATAGAGGAAGAAGGCTCTTTGGCCGCTGGGTGTGTGCTTCAAATTCCCAAAGCAGGCTCGGTGGGCTTTCTAGGGGAAGGAAGTATTGGCCAGTAGGCAACTTTGATTTTAGTCTCCTGCATCTGTAGTTTGTTATTCCAAGTTCTGGTTTAGACAGAACAATTTATGTCCTATTCTCCTGACTGTGGGTAATAACTGAGCACAGTGTTGTTACTTTTTTTTTTTTAAAGATTTATTTATTTTTGCATGCAAAAACTGGGGTACAGGCCAGAGGTGTGGGGGGTGAGAGGAGTCACCAGAGACAGAGTGGGGAGCAGAACAGGCAGACTGACAGAAATACACTGCTGAGGTGAGCAGCAGGCGAGTCAGGAGAGGTCTGCCGCACCATGTGGGTAGCTCCCTGGCCTGATATCAAACTCATGCTGCAGAGGCTGTGGATAGCTTCATAGGTTGTGTCTTAACCCCTTGAGCCGCCAGGGAGGCCCTGTAGTTACTTTTCTTTAGAGAGGCAAAGAGGAGCTGGTTGATTCATGTCAACATTCTTTCTGCACTATTTCAAGTTTCTTCGCTAAGTAGATCTGATGAGAAATTGAATGTTGAAAAGTTAGTTACAATTTTAAATATCTTCATACTAGGGCTAAAGATGAGACTGAACATTGGTGTGATTTCTGTTGTCTGTTGTAGGAATCTCCATTTCCTGGTGTTGAGAAAATATGATCTTAGAAGTCACAGGCAGGAGGTCTTTTTTAGTTCGAGTTAGCCTCTATTCATTCCCAATGTAGTGCTTGCACTCTCTAGCTCCCAGTGCAGTGGGAATATTTCTAGAACCTTTGTCTCTCCTGGCTTTTTTTTTTTTTTTTGGTGGGACCCTCGCCTGTGGCCGGGGATTGAACTGGCGCTGCAGAGGCTGCGAGCAGCCTTGCAACCCAGTGCTCAACCGCTGCGCCACCAGGGGAGGCCCTCTCTCCTGGCTTATAACTTTATCCCAATTCTACCTTTTTTCCTGGTTCACTGTCATCTCTGGTTAGTTGCCATAGCTAGAAACTGACTTTGTCTTTTCATTCCCTTACCCACAGACACTTTTATTAAGCTTTGATTATACCATGTGATGTGGCTAAAGATAGATGAGGCCATGTTCTCACTCTTGAATAAAACAGTAGTCAAAAAAAAAAAAATCAGGAAGATGAAATAATAGAAGTTTGATGAAGTGCACAGAAGAAGAGGCAGCAAATCCCTCTGGGGCACTCGGGGTGCCTTCCCAGAGGAGGCAACTTTTAGCCTGCAACTTTTGGCCTGTTTTCTAAACCAGGACATCCAATAGAGACGCCGTCTCCAAAGCCATTCCCAAGTCCGATTTGAGAAGCATCCAAACCTATTCAGAAGCATCTGGATCAAGCCCTCTTGGCATTGCGTGGGGAGTCTGAGCAGCAGACTTGCCCCCTGTGTTCACGCTAGCTGAGACTGTCTAGCTCTGAGGGTGGCTGCACGAAGATGTTAGTATTGAGGGTTTTTTCCTTGCACATGAGCTCAAGTTTCAAGCATGTCGATCCCACGGTGCCCTCTTCCGGAGCAGCCCTGACCCCTGTCCCGTGGGTGGGACCCCACTCCTGTCCTTGGCTCTTAACATCCATGGGCCTTTGGGCTTCTCTGGCGTGGAGGCCCCACGTCTGTCTATTTGGCCTGAAGGGTTTGCTCAGGCAAAGTTTCCAAGGAGCCATTCCATTCCGCCTTGGGCTTATGATCTTCCTACCTGGGAAGACCTATAAAATGCAACCAATGCCTCGTTAATTTTAAATGAATCTCCCCATGTAACCACTCATCTCTGACGGCCACAATTAACCTCCACTCCACACGCCTCTCCTCTCGTATTCAGCCGCCTGCCTCCTTCCCCATTTGCCCCCTCTTAACTCTCACCCTGGGAGTGTTGCGGGCAGTTCAGTAAAATTCCAGGGGCATCAAGTTTACGGTCCCTTCTTGCTGCAGCCCCTTGCACGCCCTCCCCCTTCTCATTCTGTGTGCGCTGCTTCCAGGCCGTCTAATAATGCTTTAAGCATGTCGAGTAATCAGACTTCCCCAGGCGGTCACTTTGACCTTGCAGCTTCCCCTCTACCTTTTTCCCTCTGACTCTCAGACTTGCATTTTCTGCTACAGGATGTGTGCGGGTCGCGGCTGACAGGACGGGCTTCGACGGCTGCGCCTTCCCCACAGCATGAAGGAGGAAATTCAAGACTTGGTCTTTTCTTCACTGCTTCGCTGGCTGCAGGGACCCTGCATTTCTCTGCTTGTCCTGGGTCCAGCTTCCTTTAGGTGAGTCCAGTGTCTGAACGTGTCACCTAGAGCTGACGGCGCCCTGTGGCCTGCAGGGAGAGACAGCGGTGCCTTTTCTTTTTCTGTTTTTACAATGGATTTCTTTATTTGTCTATATAATCAGCTTTGTCTTGCCTTCACTTACTCCCTGGAGGTTTTTAGTCCTCTGCGTGTCCATCCATCCATTCCGCTCGTGACCGTGGGCCCCTCCAGGAAGGTCTCCTTGCTCCAGTGTTATTTCCTCACCCCCCACAGCCTCCCCAGCTCACCCTGCAGAATGCATTTGGGGAAAGAGGCGCGCCATGGACAAGCTGCGGGTGTGATTTATATCTTGGACGGGAGGACCAGCTCAGGACCCGATGGGGTCAGGAGTGATGTGGGGGAGGGGTAATTATTTCCTCAGGTGGGGAGAGACATAGCAATTAAGATAGATGCAATAAGGCGTCTGGAGAAAAGCAATCATCTGAGAGCAGGGAGCCCGGCGTCTTGTTGTGGAACCTCAGCGTGTCCCGGCTCCCTGGGAGGCTTGGCGATGCTGCAAGGATGATGAAACCTTGGGCCTGAACTCCCCGCGTGCTGCAGGGACTAGTGCAGACAGACGCCTCCCCCAGGCCAGCCTCCCCAACCTGTTGGCAGGAAATGAGTTTCACATCCATTCTGAAATTATAGGAAAATAGTCTATATTATATTACAAGTTCATGTTATTTTTGCAAACTAGCTAAGGAATTCCTTGTCTGTTGCTCTTCCTCCTGCCCTGTGCTCGCTCTTGGTGTTCTTTCCCCTTCTCTCTGCACTCCCTGCTTTCATCTCAAACCCTCTCTTCTTCCCCACATCTTTGCTCATTTCCGCTCTCCCCTAAACACCTTGGTCCCAGCTAGGGACAGAAGGTGACATTCTACAGTCAGTGTGCAAAGGGGCTGAGGGCCCCCTGGAATTCCCTTGGCCCCCCTGGAATTCGCTTTTTACTGACTTTGCAAGTAATTTTCTGACTCTCTTTCTCAATTGCTTGGGTGGACCAACGCCATGCATCAGCGAGTTTGCTGGATTTAGCAAATAAAAATCTGGGGTGCCTTGTTACGTTTGAATATCAGATAAATAGCAAATAAAAATTGGAGTCCAAGGAGACCCACGCAATATTTGGGAAATGCTCATGCTAAGACATCCTTCCTCATTTACCTGTTATTCAAAGGTAACCGGGCACCCTGTGCTTTATCTGGCAACCTCGACGATCATCTAGGCCTGTGCGTGGTGTGCTGATGGGCGGTCGGTCATTACCCTTCCCTTTCTTAATAGAATTTAATTTCTTGATGGGGACAATCTATTTCTTTCCCTAGATATTTTGCTTTCTGCTCATCCTTAGCCTCAGCACAGATAACAGTCACGTGACCCTTCGCCCCCAGCCACAGGGTCCTGTGTCTGAGCTTCGGGTGACCAACTCAGCTAATGCAGCACAGGGGGACCCCCCACCCCATCTCCAAAGCCCCCATGCATTGAGCACCAACTTAGTGATGACCCTGTTCTTGGACTCTGGAGCAATCACCCTACGTGACATCTGCAGCAAGTCCCAGAGATTATTCCAACTCCGTGTAATATCCAAGACTCATAGTTTAAGTTGCTTGGCAAGACACACTGGACTTGATCTCTGGTTCAGTTTCAATTTTTCACTCTGTGAGGAGAATTGTAATCCACACTACTTTCTCTACAGTCACTTCCCTGGCTATACATAGGGTCCTAAATAATGGATTAAGGCCCAGTTCCCTGGAGGGGGTGTCCAGAAAGGAACCTGATTTAGAGGCCATGTCTGTCTTGGGGGGCAGATGAGCCTTGTGCTTTGGCATTGGACAGACCCGTTGCGATCAGACAAACTAAGACAACGTAAGAGAAGTTCTCCAGGTTTGGGGAGAAGGTTCATTGGTCTTAGTCCCTGGGAATGCATTACCTGGGGTGGGGGCTGTAGGAAAGAGGGGTGAGCTCTTCCCTCAGATGTCCTTTTGCTCTCCCACGCTTTCACTGTCTCCCAACCCTCCTGAAATCTCATTGACCTACGCTGGGTCAACGACTCTTCCCTGTCTGCTTATCTTCCAGTGTTCTTTTAGTTTTAATGCTTGATAACTCTCAGATGCCAGGATTTAATATTATTTTAAATCCTATCTCTGGCAAGGTTAGGTCGATTCATTCCGTGACTTAAAATTGTATTAACGTTTTCCTCATTTGTGTAAGTGCTGTCTTCCTGTAAGCCATAAAACCGAGCAGATTTCAAAGGCTATGGAACTACTTAAAAGGAAAAAGAAGCCAAAGAAGAGCTCAGTCTTTGTCCTTATCGTGGCACAAGTTTGTTTTCCTAATGGGGAATTTTCCAAGCACTCTTACTGCTGCGACTTTATGGAATAAATGTGGTGGAAAATAGCACACGTCCCATTCCGAATATCCTTTTTACTCTCTTCTGCTCCTCTGAGCTTTGCTTCTGAATACACAAAACCTGTATTTGTGACTGCCAAGAGGCCTTCTACTGGGAGGGAGAATGCATTGTAAATCATTCTTTCACAGCCAGTTAACAGGCAGTGTCTTTCTCACCAATAATTACGGTTTTGCTTGGAGTTGAGAAGGTTGTTTTTGGGGCAATAAATTGTGATGTCAGGTCTCCTTCAATCTCTTTGCTTGTGATTCCTGGGTCGGAAATTGGTGTTCTTAACAGTTGAACCTCTGCGGTCTCCAAGGCTTTGCAGCTGAAAATCTTGGAGTCATCTGAGAGAGAGAGAGAAAGAGAGAGAGGGAGGGAGGTGTTTTGTTTTCAACTTTGACGATAGAAGACTTGGAAGTTGGGGATGGTGACTTGATTTTTTTTTATTAAAATTATTTTATGTTAGAGAGTTTTACTGATTTTATTTTAAACTAATGAGAATGAAAAAAAATTAAGGTCAGGACCATGTGATTATTGTACTGACACTTTCTTTTGTGTGAGTGTTATAGAGCAACCCCGATATTAAACGGGTTCCTGGCTGTGGGTCCTCACCCGCGCGCTTACAAGGGACTTATGAATACTCCACTACAGACACACACAAAAGGTTAATAAAAGGTCTATTTACAAGAGAAAAGGAAATAAGGAAAATGTACAACTCAGGGAGAAAATAGGGAAATAAAGTCTTTAATGCGTCCTACCCGATCCGACGACCTGGAAACCCCAAAGTCACTCTCAGAGCTGACCGGACGCTGCTGCTGGCCAAGAGCCCAAAAATGGAGAGAGCCCCAAAGCCCTCGTGTCTGCCTTTTGTATCCACCTGGCTGCTTAACCCCACCCTCAGGTCCCAGCCACCTTCCCTTTGGTGGTGATGGGATTTGGAGTTCCCAGTGTCTTTGGCTTTGACCTGGGGTGGGGGTGGAGTCCACAAAGCCTATATGGAATTTGCTTTGGGACAGCCTTTTCCTCCTAACATGAGGGCCTTTGTACACATACACAACTCTTCTAAGAATCTCCCACACAAACACTCTGGGTCACCCTGTGTCACACTGGGAAAGTTCACAAGCAAGGAAATTCTTGGTAGAGTAAGAAAATCAAACCCCTTCAATGCATGGACATCATTAGTGGAAAACTTCATGCTCAACAGCACATTGAATTTTCCTCGGTTACGAGACTATCCGTTTAACATCGAAAATCACAGGTTATGAGAAAACCACGTGAACACTTAGAGGCATATCGTTTCACCAGCTTCTCTGTGCTTGATTTATGACGTTGTTATTCTGACCTCTTCAGGTGATCAGTTATGAGGAATCATTTGGTAACTTCTGCAAGAGAGCAAAGTCATTTCCCCAGATTCTGGGTGATCTCGGGTATTGTAACACCTGCTGTGAAGGGGCCAAGTCTTGTCCATGTCCAAGAGTGTGGCTTTGGGTCTTATTTCACAAGGGGGGGGGCGTGAGGGGGATCTTGTGCAAGTTCTAAGGCCATGGTGTTCCTTCCACAATCCGCTAACTTGACACTGAAGTCTGATCTATTTCTATTTGGTGTGCGGATGGGGCAGGACAGCTTGGGGACATTTTGAGCTGTATAATTTCCTGCTTAGGAAGCTCAGGGGCTTTAGAAGTGAGACAGGAGGGCTGTGAAATGAAGGGGTGCACTCTCCAATCAAACCTTCATCTGAGTGCTGGGTCTGCATTTTTCAGCTGTGACATCTGGTCCAAGTCACTCTCCCTTTAGTTTCCTCTTTTGCAAAATAGGCACAATCATATGTAGGACCAGCCTCACCCCGCTCCCCAAGAGAGGCTTTTCCCAAGACCAGAGTAGGCCTTTTCTATACTTATAACCTTGGTATGTGGAACTAAAGTCAACTGAGGCCCATGAGCCTCAGGAGCAATTGTTAACATTTCTTGAAGAATGCAGATGACCCAGATTTAGGGCATTTCAGAAAATACCTCTATATCTTACCTTAAATCAGGGCAAATGTCTAGAGGCAAGATTTTATCAAATCAAATCCTTTCCTTGTCATCATGTGATTCCCCCTCCATTCTCCCTGATACCCCAGCTCCCTCAGCATAGGATAGAACCCCCGATTTGTTCCATTTACTTTAGAACTCAGTGTCATGTAAATTCTCTATGCGAATGATAGTACATTTGGTCTTTTTCTCCTACTAATGATAGGAATTTGTAGTGCATATATGTTGGTCAGCCTCAGAAGAACCCAGAGGGGCAGGAATTTGCTCCTGTGCTCTGACAAAGGCAAACAATAACAGAGCTCTCTGTCTGCCTTCCAGATATTTTGGGAAGTTGCTGCTTCTCTCCCCTCCTCTGCTGTCACTTTGGTCTAAGTCACCATCCTACTGCATTTGCATTATTACATTAGCCTCCTGCCAGTCCCTCTTTTCTGGCCACATATATCACAGACTGAGTGAATCTTTAAAAAGGTGACCTCAAAACTCTCCTGTGCTTTCCAAGCTCCTTCAGAATGCCGTCAAAGTCCTTGCAGGGCTTAGAAAGTCCTGCTGGATTTGGCTCCTCGTTACTT